TATGAATGTTAACACTTTGTAATAATTCTTTAGTATATTACTTGTGTCGTGTAGAAGAGAATTATTTATGTAGAGATACTGCTTGCAATCCAATGATGGTAAGATGATGTCATGGGGTAGGACTGGATAAGTCTGACTTCTTCCTACTCCATTCAAGCATGTATTAGGTATAAGCAAATTGATATTGGATTAGCATTTGTTGGATATGTATAAAATTATGTGTGTTGACATATCAACTGTCTTTACATGCTTGAAAGAATAAATCAAATCAAATCAAATCAAGATGTCACACTTGAGAAACTGAAACATCTTTCACTGTTTTATTAAGTTTTATAAACTAAAAGATTAACCAGAAATAAGCAGCTTTATTAATGAAGAACAGCTGACAGCAATCAATCAAAAGAAAACCAATTAGCAACACTTAAAAATCAGTTTCCTGCTGTTAGTTTCTCAGCTTAATCAGTAATCAATGTTTGTTTGTTGGAGTTTTACAGTTAAACCTTGTTTAAACCAGGCTGCAGCCTCTACAGGACTGAAATGTATTTGTTGAACAGTTCCAGGCTTTTGTTGAGTTTCATCTGTTTTTGCACATTATTCAAAATGGGGAGGCGACAGTGGTGCGGTGGGTAGAGCAGTCGTCTTTCAGCCAGAAGGTTGAAGGTCCGAATCTCGGTGCCCGGCAGTCCACGTGTCGAAGTGTCCTTGAGCAAGACACAGAACCCCCCCCCCATTGCCCCCGATGGTTAGAGCCATCGATTGAGGTGGTGCCGCAGATGGCTGCCATTGGTTCTGTACCGGAAACAAATTCCTTGTGTGTAACATACTTGGCCAATAAAGGTGGTTATCCAAAATATGTCAGCAGACTGTTGAAACTGAGAGTTTCAGATTTTTCTGACTGACAGTGAATACAACACACACAGTTCATATTGTTCTGTTAACTTTTACTGCTGAGACTTCGTGACTTTAACCAGAATCCTGAACCAGAGTCTGGGATCAGCTTCAGTCCTGGGCCAGAGTCCAGACAGAAAACCGGCCTCTGAGCTATGACCTTGAAACCTCATTCAGTTTATAAGTTTAGAGTTTTATTGGTGTTGAGGCTCTGAGATTTAATGATTCTTTATTCTGGTGTGTGTTTATCTTCATCTGTTACAATTCTGTAGTTTTTACACACCTGGTTACTGTATCAACATCTCAAGATGTTAAAATAATTTTAAAACATTAAATTTGGTTTTAATAACAGTGTTGCCTGACAGTACTTTGAAAAGAGGTAGAATCTTTACAATGGGTGGAACACATGAACATGTTCTTAACATCTCCAGACTTCAAGACTGGTCCACATTGGGACCAGTTAATGCAAAGAAGTGCAGTGTGTAATGAGTTAAAGATGCTGTGTGGTAAAAGGAGCATCTACTTCTTTTTTTAAAATAAAACACATTGTTGATCTACAGCTGTGACAGTGCACCTGGATCATGATGATTCATCATTCCAAACTCTTATAAACGAGGTAGTGATGTCATCAGCACTCAGCTGACAGGAGGCCAGCTCTGACCAGCACTGTCTACTAGCAACAACAGCTGATCTGTGTTTAAATGTTTACATGTAATTTTGCCAGACCCTCTTATCATGATTTGGCGATATACAACTAAAATTAAATTTAATTGGCTTGTCTCTCTGTGTGTAGGTCTCCTTGTTGGGACTCTGGATGTGGTTCTGGACTCCAGTGCCAGAGTAGCTCCATACAGGATCCTGCTGCAGACTGCAGACTCTCAGGTCTACTGGAACATTGCCTGTGGTGAGTCAGCTGAAGTTGACTGTATTGGACTGAGCTGGGATTGGCTGAATGCTTGTGGTTTGTAGACTCTCAGCTGTGTCTTGCAGGCTCATCCAGGAAGGAGATCACAGAGCACTGGGACTGGCTGGAGGCCAACCTTCTGCAGACCATCTCCATCTTTGACAACGATGAAGACGTCATCACTTTTGTCAAAGGGAAGATCTCTGTATGTCACTTCCTGTTTGATCTCCTGAGACCATTTCACTTCCTGTAAGTACTTGTCAGTGAGTGATGTCACTTTCCGCAGGGGATCATTGCAGAGGAGAACCGGGAGAAGCAAGGGGAGGAGCAGGAGGAGGATTGTGGGAAGTTTCGGGAAGCAGAGCTGAAGATGAGGAGGCTCTTCAGGATGCCTGATGAAGAGAAGCTTGTGAATTATTATTCCTGTAGCTACTGGAAGGGAAGAGTCCCACGGCAGGGATGGCTTTACCTGTCTGTCAACCATCTGTGCTTCTACTCCTTCCTACTGGGCAAGGAGGGTACGACCAGCCAATCACAGGCCACAGTTTAATGCTGTCATTATACAGGGTGCCATAGGGATGACGTATTTTTATAGACCAGGTTGGAGGTTAGCATCCTTCTGGTTCCCTCAACAAAAACCCAATAGGATTTTTCCATAGGCTTTTGGATTACTGGAGAAAATACGCCTTGTGACAAACAACCGTTTATGACATTGACACATTTTGTTCAGCAAGATAATATTCACTGGTGACCACAGCTTTTATGACTTTTGAAGCCCACACACGATTGCCAGAAGTAAAAAGATAGACATTAGGCAAGTGCCCTCAGTCTGTCAGGCTGTAAACAAACTATACCACGGTCCCCCGACTTCAGCATCACCACCATAGCTTCCAACTTGGAATTTGATGTAGCGCGCTTACCTCTTCTACAAAATACTTTCCTCTTAGTGTGACCTGATTTAGCTAGTGATCATTGCTCTATCATTTAGTTAGAATAATTTGCAAGTGTGCGAGTTTAAACTTAATGAGGCTGTAAAGGTGAGCTAGTGAGGAGATGAGTCTCCATGTTTGTTGTTATGATGTTTAGTATCACAGACACCCTTTGTAGTCTCATTTAGCCATTTGTTAGCAACCGCCTTTTTTAAGACATGTAAAAAGTAATGAGTGGGGTTTTGACTAAAGTGTCAGAACAAAACATGAAACTGTTTTGGTCTTGTTCTAACCACAGACCTTATTTCGGCCGTCTAACCAAAATTCATTCAAAACCCAGAGACTTCAGGGTGAGGGAAACAGAAGTGCCAAAATGTTAACTCAAGTTCCGGGTTTTAGGACTCACTTCAATGGCACTCTATAGTCTGTGCAGAAGGAAACAGGAAACACATTTTTCTAAAGTAGAGCAAACTGTCATCTTTATTAAAGAGTAACTGAACACTGTTTTACCTGAAGTCACTTGTCAGGGGCAACTTCTGTTCTTACCGTGGGTGCTTCTGTTTTTACTTCTGGTAAACTGATAAATGACAAATCAACTACATATACAGTATTTTACTAACTTCAAATCTGGTCTTAGTGTTAATTTACTCTGTCAAAACAACTCGGAACAAGACAATCACAGTGTGACATTCATTCATAATTTATTATATATTCATATATGTTTTTGAATGTAATCTCCCTTTTTCTTGTCATTATTCACCCTCACCCTCAGTGAGCCTAGTGGTGCAGTGGACAGAGGTGACCCAGCTGGAGAAGAACGCCACCCTGGTGTTTCCAGGAAGCATTTGTGTCAGTACTCGTCACACTGAGCATTTCTTCTCCATGTTCCTCAACATCAGTGACACTTTCAAGCTGATGGAACAGCTCGCCAACATAGCCATGCGTCAGCTGCTTGACAATGAGGCGTTCGCCGCCGACCGCTCGCTGCCCAAACCCTGCAAGACGCTCAAGAACGTCTCTGCGCTCAAGAGGTCTCACGCTAACCATGCACCTGATATCCAGCTGATAGGGTTTTCCTGATCAGACTGAGGAGTTTAACAAAGGGATGTTTATGAGAGCAGTTCATTACTAAGCAAATTTCACACCACAATATCCTGTGGACATAAATCTGTGTACCTTCCTGTTAATGTTAATGCACAGACAAACTGATATTTGTGTTGTTTCAACAGTGATACTGTTTATGAACCAGGCTTCAGTTCGATTGTTGACCTTGGGCCTAATTAGCTGTTTCCTGCCCCACTCAAGGGATTTGGACGCCCGGGCAAAAAACGAGCAGTACCGGTCAATGTTCCGGCTGACACAGGATGAACGTCTGGATGGACACACGGACTGCACACTGTGGATGCCGTTTGCTAAAATGCACGTGGTCGGACAGTTGTTCATTTCCAACAACTACATCTGCTTTAACAGCAGAGAAGACGACCTGTGTCAGCTCATCATCCCACTCAGAGAGGTAAGCAAGTTGTTCCCAAACCCGGCTTGGTTTTCTGAGACTTTCACTCCAAGGGAATTTAAAGCTGCTGACATTTAAATACAAGTCCATATTTCTCAACATTAAAAACATGCTCATTTTATTTAGTCTGCATTTGTTTAAACTTGAAAAGGGAGTTAATTTAATGTGTTTTTCTAATGGATTTGTTGTGGTTACTTTTTCCTAGAAGACTATCTGTTGCATTGCAACAGCTAATGGGGATCATCTCCACATTTCTTTATTCAAACTGTGATTGTGCAGCTTGCCATTCAAAACCAAAGCAGCACATGTTCAGAACTAACAGACATGACACTGAGAATCAAGATAAGACCTGATGTGATAAGATGATATTTCTTATTATGGTTATTGGTTTTTACCCTTTATCCTTTGCTCCCCAGGTCTCCATTGTAGAGAAGGCAGACAGCAGCAGCGTCCTGCCGTGCCCTGTCTCCATCAGCACCAAGAACAAGATGAACTTCCTGTTTGCCAACCTCAAAGACAGGGACTTCCTGGTCCAACGCATCTCGGACTTCCTGCAGCGAACACCTGACAGCTCGTGGGGTGACACCAGCCCGCTGTCTCTGATTGGCCACTCGGTGCGTTGCTCTTGTAGAGGGTCAGATCTGCAGTGACAACAATCATTCTTGGGAAATAGGATGCAGATTTGTCAGAACTTATTTTCTGTCTAAATGTGTAGTTATCCTGCCTCCATGTGGCAGAGTGGTGTAACTGTTTTCAGATTATGTTTAAATGACGAGTCCAGTGTCGCTGCTGGTTCCAGATGTCCTCAGACAGGAAGAAGAATTCCACAGCAATGTAGTTTGTCTCTTTCGTAGTTTGTTTTGTCAGTTTCAAACATATCAAACAACTGAACGGTTACACCCCAACCCTGTATCAAACTGAGCCTTACAGGTTCATTATTTCAGTCAACAACCCCACCTCCTCAAAACTGAAAAATTGGGCGTGCAAAATTATTCAGCCCCCTTAAGTTAATACTTTGTAGCGCCACCTTTTGCTGCGATTACAGCTGTAAGTCGCTTGGGGTATGTCTATCAGTTTTGCACATCGAGAGACTGAAATTTTTGCCCATTCCTCCTTGCAAAACAGCTCGAGCTCAGTGAGGTTGGATGGAGAGCGTTTGTGAACAGCAGTTTTCAGTTCTTTCCACAGATTCTCGATTGGATTCAGGTCTGGACTTTGACTTGGCCATTCTAACACCTGGATATGTTTATTTGTGAACCATTCCATTGTAGATTTTGCTTTATGTTTTGGATCATTGTCTTGTTGGAAGACAAATCTCCGTCCCAGTCTCAGGTCTTTTGCAGACTCCATCAGGTTTCCTTCCAGAATGGTCCTGTATTTGGCTCCATCCATCTTCCCATCAATTTTAACCATCTTCCCTGTCCCTGCTGAAGAAAAGCAGGCCCAAACCATGATGCTGCCACCACCATGTTTGACAGTGGGGATGGTGTGTTCAGGGTGATGAGCTGTGTTGCTTTTACGCCAAACATAACGTTTTGCATTGTTGCCAAAAAGTTTGATTTTGGTTTCTTCTGACCAGAGCACCTTCTTCCACATGTTTGGTGTGTCTCCCAGGTGGCTTGTGGCAAACTTTAAACGACACTTTTTATGGCTATCTTTAAGAAATGGCTTTCTTCTTGCCACTCTTCCATAAAGGCCAGATTTGTGCAGTATACGACTGATTGTTGTCCTATGGACAGAGTCTCCCACCTCCGCTGTAGATCTCTGCAGTTCATCCAGAGTGATCATGGGCCTCTTGGCTGCATCTTTGATCAGTCTTCTCCTTGTATGAGCTGAAAGTTTAGAGGGATGGCCAGGTCTTGGTAGATTTGCAGTGGTATGATCCTCCTTCCATTTCAATATTATTGCTTGCACAGTGCTCCTTGGGATGTTTAAAGCTTGGGAACTCTTTTTGTATCCAAATCCGGCTTTAAACTTCTCCACAACAGTATCTCGGACCTGCCTGGTGTGTTCTTTGTTCTTCATGATGCTCTCTGCGCTTTAAACGGACCTCTGAGACTCTCACAGTGCAGGTGCATTTATACGGAGACTTGATTACACACAGGTGGATTCTGTTTATCATCATTAGTCATTTAGGTCAACATTGGATCATTCAGAGATCCTCACTGAACTTCTGGAGAGAGTTTGCTGCACTGAAAGTAAAGGGGCTGAATAATTTTGCACGCCCAATTTTTCAGTGTTTTATTTGTTAAAAACGTTTGAAATATCCAATAAATTTCGTTCCACTTCATGATTGTGTCCCATTTGTTGTTGATTCTTCACAAAAAAATACAGTTTTATATCTTTATGTTTGAAGCCTGAAATGTGGCAAAAGGTCGCAAAGTTCAAGGGGGCCGAATACTTTTGCAAGGCACTGTATGTTAGTGTTGTTGTTGTCTTGTACACTCATCAGTGTATCATTTGGCTGTTTGTGAGACTATCGTTCAGCTTGGAGAACAAAATAGTATCCACTACAGTGTTTTTTGGGGAAACTGTGGGATCACTCTTTTGATATAGTGTCTAACTTTAGGTACCTGAAAACATGAATTAGATATGTTAATTTCAACTGAAGGTGTGGTTAGCTGCAATCGAGCTTGATAGGGACATATTTTGTAGGTTGAACTGTTTTCTGAATTGGGACCAGATTTTAAGAGTGAATTAGGATTATTTTCAGTGTTACCCAAACTGGGCATTTTTGTGTCTTCAGGCATCCTCCGGTGTCCCCTCGTCCTTGTCTGCAGGATCTGAATCTGTTCACAGGGGGCGTCATTACCACCCCGGTCTTCCTACAGCCAGTTGGGGTCTGCTACAGCTCTACCACCAAGATGCTCAGGAGGACCTTGGACCCAAAGCCGTAAGTCCAAGTCCAGGCACCTTAAGATATTATGTTGGACCAGTATTTTCCAATACTGAATATTTTCCCAGACTGACAAGTATTAGATAAGGAGGGCTTTTAGATACAAAGGAGGACTTGTTAGACAGTAGCAGAAACTGACTGTGGGGGTTGACAGCTCATTGATCCAAACTGATGGGTTGATATGTAAGTCAACACTGCAGTCCAAGCAAATGCTCCCTGGCCTCCTGTCTTCCTGCAGATGAAGGAGAAGATGAAAGAGGAGGCATGGAATATCCATTTCTCAGAGTTTGGTCGAGGCGTCTGTATGTACCGAACCTCCAGAACCAGAGAACTCATCCTTAACGGGATCCCAGAGCGCCTGAGAGGGGAGCTGTGGCTGCTGTTCTCTGGTCAGTGTTCATTCATTCATTTACTTGTGAAAAGGGCTGAGGCTGCTGTTCTCAGTGTTTGTTCACTCATTCATTCATTAATACCACTCAGCTATTCACCTGTTCACTTGTCGCTCCAGGAGCGCAGAATGAGATGGCAACCCACCCTGGTTACTATGGTGACCTGGTGGAGCAGGCTATGGGCCTGTGTTCACTGGCTACAGAAGAGATTGAGCGTGACCTCCACCGCTCAATGCCTGAACACCGAGCCTTCCAGAATGAAACAGGCATCGCTGCGCTGCGCCGCGTCCTCACCGCATATGCCCACCGCAACCCCGGCATCGGCTACTGCCAGGTAATAATGAAATATAAAAAATAAAATGTAAACCCTGGTATCAGATGCTGTCAGGTATAATACAAATATACAGTAATTAAATATACAATTTAATTAAGCCCCATTATTGGGTGCATTATTGGAAAATAAAAGCAAAAAAATAAAAAGAACTAAAGTAAAATACTATATACTGTACATCCCATTACAATGGTGAATGTGGCAAGTAGCTCCAAACATGACATCAGTTCATTAGGGCTTGACCCCTGAACTTTCACTTAAAATAAAACTACAGTTTTTTTTAAGTATCAATAAAAGATGAAACTCATCCTTTCATCCTCCAGGCAATGAACATTGTCACCTCTGTCCTGCTGCTCTACTGTACAGAGGAAGAAGCCTTCTGGCTGCTGGTGGCACTTTGTGAGCGGATGCTGCCGGACTACTACAACACCAGAGTTGTAGGTCAGTACTGAGACTGGGATCAATAACAAGTCCAGAGTCAACTGTCAGTAAACGTCTGCTGCTCTGACCTCTGACCTAGTATCAGTGTCTGGCCCTAATGTCAGTATTTGGTGCTAAAGTGTCCTATGTTAGTGCTCCATCCAAAAAGCCAATGTCCAGTGCTGAATCCGGTGTCATTTGCCGGTGCCCAGCACCGAGTGCCAAAATCCATTGATGAATTCTAATGTATAGGGTTGGAATCCAGTGTGCGTTGTCAGCATCTACAGTCAGTATCCAGTTCTAGTGTCCAGCTGTCAGTCAGTATTGTCAGTGTGCAGTGGTGGTGCTCAGTGTCCAGTCCAGTGAGTGCAGCACTGCAGATGAGTTGCAGTCTGACTCAGGTAGACCCCAGGTTCTTGTAGTCCTGTCCCAGTCTGATGTGGTTTCTGCTCCCGCAGGAGCTCTGGTGGATCAAGGGGTGTTTGAGGATTTGACCCGGGCCTTCCTGCCCCAGCTGTATGAACACATGCAGGAGCTGGGGGTGATCTCCACCATCAGCCTGTCCTGGTTCTTGACCCTCTTCCTGTCTGTGATGCCCTTTGACAGTGCGGTGCTGCTGGTCGACTGCTTCTTCTACGAGGGCATTAAAGTCATCTTTCAGGTCCTGACAATCTGTTTACTGACTGTTTATTGACCGACTGTTTACTTACTGTTGGCTGACTATTTAGTGGCTGGCTGACTGACTGTTTTGCTGTCTGATTACTGACTGTTGACTGATTACCTTAACAACTCTCATGACATCAGCAATGCAGATTTTGGCAAGAGTGACAGAAAAGTTGAAACTCTATTATTATTCATTTTGGCTGTGTCACCACGTCAGCCAATGCAAATCGGATATGGCTTTGCCTTTTGGCTTTCTCTTTCCGGTTTATGTGAAAAAGGCCTATAGCAGCATAACTAGGGGAGGAAGGCTCAGGGTCACCTGACAAATGGTGACCCTGATGGTGACCCCTAACCCTAATACCTAACTATAAGCTTTATCAAAAAGGAAAGTCTAATCTTAAATGGTGTTTGCCTCCTGAACCCAAACTAGAAACTGGTTCCACAGATGTAGCAATTTGTGATGTATTTTTGTAAGCTTGGGTCCCTGGAGAGAGACCACATTTCTCCTTTGGGTCTTTAGCTGAAAACGTTTGGGAACCCAGGTTGTAAAGTAACAGGGGCCAGTCAGCACTTGCCACCTTTGATCTCTAACTTTGGTCACCTGTAACCAAACTATTTCTTATCTCTAAATCTACCTGCAGGTGGCACTGGCTGTCCTCCATGACAACATAGACACCCTGCTGTCCTGCAACGATGAGGGAGAAGCCATGACCATCCTAGGAAGGTGGGAGTCAGTCTGGACAGGTAGGAGTCAGTGCTGACTATCAAAGTCATAAATGAAATAAAGTGTGAGTGTGTTTGTGCAGGTACCTGGATAATGTCGTGAATAAACAGACAGTGGCTTCGCCCATCCCTCACCTGCATGCCCTGCTTACCAGCGGAGATGGCCTTCCACCTGAGATCGATGTGTTCGACCTCATCAAGTCGTCCTATGAGGTTAGATCTGACATTTGACACATCATGAGGTCATCACACTCTGTCACTGTGTGCGCTGCCACCTGCAGGTCAGATTAGATCATGACATTTGAACTCACAATAATAACCAGATCTTCTCAGCTGGAGAAACATGTTGTTATATAAAAATAAGAGTTCCTTGTGGCCTGCGAACTGTTTAGGAGGTCAACACACCAGGCAATGGGTCAGGCCTCTCCTGTCAAGGTCAGGGGTCAACCCCGAGCTGTTTCAGACTCAGCAATCAACAGTCAGGGCGGAAGCGTAACCAGTACATTCCTAGTCTTTTGTTGATTTAACAGCCCCCACCGCCGTTTTTTTTTTATTTAACTTTCTTCCTCTCCTTTTTTCTTTTCCTCTGTTGTTAATTTCATTTTTCTTTAATACTGTATAAAATGAATACCAGACTGCATGGAGTTTAATACACTCACAATACACACCCTCACACACACACACACACACACTTGCACAAACTGAATGTAAAAATCATTATGTTTCTTTTGTAAAATAAATAAATAGAGTCACAATAACTTTCCAAAAAACAAGTTTTGATAGATGAAGTGTTTCAGACTTAGTGATTCTGACCTCAACTGGTTTCATAAATGGTCCTCCACCTTAAAAACAATATTTGCAGTGCTTCTGCCTAATTCCTGTAACCACAGTGTCTGTCTAATTTCTGCAGTAGCATCTCAGTCTCATTCCTGGATGTTGTTGAGATCATTTCAGTTTCTTCTTCTCTGAGCAGAAATTTGGCAGCTTGCACTCTGACGTCATTGAGCAGATGAGGTTCAAACAGAGGTTAAAGGTCATCCAGTCACTTGAGGATACGGCCAAGAGGAGTGTGGTGGGTAGGGTTAGTGTGCTGCAAGCTAACACTAACATGCCAATGTAGACACAGTGTTTACAGGTGTTTGTGTCTGCAGGTGAGGGCGATGATGACGGAGTCAGCCTTCAGTATCGAGGAGCTGGAGGAGCTGTACTGTCTGTTTAAGGTCAGAATAAATACACCAGTTTTTACAGTGCATTATAACATGAAACTTAATTTCACTGTTAGATGAATAGAAACATGTACAGTTAATAAATAAAATTAAAAATCAAGATACAGAGGCCTCATTCACTTATATGTACGTGGAAATGTTCTTACCTTGCACACAAAATATGTGCACACACAAAAATTAGCATGAGATTCATGAAACGTGCACACTGGCTGATTTCGTTCTTACTACTGTGCATATGTGCACATAATAGACAGTAACTACGCTAACCCTACCCTAACCCTGTTAATAGGAACTGGATGGGAAGAAGTAAACAGCAACTAAAATGACATGTAAGGGCCCCTGTAGTTATACTGTACAGTATTGTTCAAAATAATAGCAGTACAATGTGACTAACCAGAATAATCCAGGTTTTTAGTATATTTTTTATTGCTACATGGCAAACAAGTTACCAGTAGGTGCAGTAGATTCTCAGAAAGCAAACAAGACCCAGCATTCATGATATGCACGCTCTTAAGGCTGTGAAATTGGGCAATTAGTTGAAAGGGGTGTGTTCAAAAAAATAGCAGTGTGGCATTCAATCAGTGAGGTCATCAATTTTGTGAAATAACAGGTGTGAATCAGGTGGCCCCTATTTAAGGATGAAGCCAGCACTTGTTGAACATGCATTTGAAAGCCTGAGGAAAATGGGTCGTTCAAGACATTGTTCAGAAGAACAGCGTACTTTGATTAAAAAGTTGATTGGAGAGGGGAAAACCTATAAAGAGGTGCAAAAAATTATAGGCTGTTCAGCTAAAATGATCTCCAATGCCTTAAAATGGAGAGCAAAACCAGAGAGACGTGGAAGAAAACGGAAGACAACCATCAAAATGGATCGAAGAATAACCAGAATGGCAAAGGCCCAGCCAATGATCAGCTCCAGGATGATCAAAGACAGTCTGGAGTTACCTGTAAGTACTGTGACAGTTAGAAGACGTCTGTGTGAAGCTAATCTATTTTCAAGAATCCCCCGCAAAGTCCCTCTGTTAAAAAAAAGGCACGTGCAGAAGAGGTTACAATTTGCCAAAGAACACATCAACTGGCCTAAAGAGAAATGGAGGAACATTTTGTGGACTGATGAGAGTAAAATTGTTCTTTTTGGGTCCAAGGGCCACAGACAGTTTGTGAGATGACCCCCAAACTCTGAATTCAAGCCACAGTACACAGTGAAGACAGTGAAGCATGGTGGTGCAAGCATCATGATATGGGCATGTTTCTCCTACTATGGTGTTGGGCCTATTTATCGCATACCAGGGATCATGGATCAGTTTGCATATGTCAAAATACTTGAAGAGGTCATGTTGCCTTATGCTGAAGAGGACATGCCCTTGAAATGGTTGTTTCAACAAGACAATGACCCCAAACACACTAGTAAACGAGCAAAGTCTTGGTTCCAAACCAACAAAATTAATGTTATGGAGTGGCCAGCCCAATCCCCGGACCTTAATCCAATCGAGAACTTGTGGGGTGATATCAAAAATGCTGTTTCTGAAGCAAAACCAAGAAATGTAAATGAATTGTGGAATGTTGTTAAAGAATCATGGAGTGGAATAACAGCTGAAAGGTGCCACAAGTTGGTTGACTCCATGCCACACAGATGTGAAGCAGTTATAACAAACTGTGGTCATACAACTAAATATTAGTTTAGTGATTCACAGGATTGCTAAATCCTAGAAACAAAAACGTTTGTACAACATAGTTTTGTGTTTGTACAGTCAACGGCAGACACTGCTATTTTTTTGAACACACCCCTTTCAACTAATTGCCCAATTTCACAGCCTTAAGAGCGTGCATATCATGAATGCTGGGTCTTGTTTGCTTTCTGAGAATCTACTGCACCTACTGGTAACTTGTTTGCCATGTAGCAATAAAAAATATACTAAAAACCTGGATTATTCTGGTTAGTCACATTGTACTGCTATTATTTTGAACAATACTGTATATGTATGTGAGCAGGGTGGCACCATTTGTTATTAATAAGAACAGCAAGTCCTCATAGCCCGTCTCCTTTCCTCCATCAGTCTCTGTTGTTCGAACCCAACACCTTATCCTCGTTTAGTTGCACAAAGTATCGGTATTGGCTTTCTTGATACCAGCCTGGACTTTACTTGGCATTGGCGCAGAAATGAAATGTGATACTGCACATCACTAAAAACACACTTTATTTCACTTGTATTTTGTGGCATTCATGTAGACAGCAAAGTAAGAATTTCATTGTACAGGGAAACACGTTTTCTAACTGTGCATATGACAAATAAACACTTTGACCTTGACCTTGATGTAAGTAAATCGGAACCATTGTGAAATAACATCCGCGTGCCTGCAGTTCACAATTAGCATACTACCATGCCCCCATTTGTCTATAAGGAAATACGTTTGCCTAGAGGTGCCTCTTGGAGAAAGCGGTGAAGTTGCACGAGAGAAGTAGGACAGGACAGGACTCGAACCTAAGGAGGTATCAGGTGAGAGCACTGTGTCTGATGACGAAGATGCTGTTCCAGGTGATTGCATAGCTGCCGCAGAACCTGTCAGAAGCAGCCGACAAGCCATTCGTCACTCTCTTCAGTCACCTTATGTTGGCCTCTGGAGATGTGCTCTCTCCTGAAGGAACAGACTGCACTATCTTCCAGCAAGGCTCCATATCCCATCTTAACACTTGCTTGGAGGTAAATTGGAATCATTCATATATCCTGCAGCAGTTTAATAGACTGCAAATTAACCAGTCAACACTGGATACATATGTACATGGCACTAGAAATTGGTTGGAGCAGCTCATCATTATGGGCCAAGTCAATAAAGGCAATGAAAATCAGTACTGTTACATTTCAGTACGTATGTTCTTCCATGTACTCTCATGTACTTGTAATAACCTAGCATTGGGACACTTTTTTTATACCTGAATATTTTAATAAGAACTGTAATGGATGATGAGGAAATGGCACCAGTAAATTAACTGTGTTAAATATTGTCTATTAAAGATTTTTTTTAAGGCCTGCAGTTTTAATATGCTGTGCATTTATTTGAAAGTTGTGTGTTTACATTTCTAAGACAGTTGTGCTATCATCGTTTGTGCGTGCGCATGGTCTAACGTAGTTCTAAATTCGTTCGCAGAGTACAAACGAATTTAGGTAAGGACATATCGATAAATCCCAGATTTGTACATAAATTTGTCATATGCATGGTTTAAGCATGGATCTGTGCGCAGACACTGTTTGTGAATGAGGCCCAAAGGATATAGTTTTTTTGCTGTATAGTTCTTTGCTGTTTCCCCCAAAACCTGCAGCTTTTTATTCCTGAGTTCTGCCTGCAGGTGTTTCTAACCAGCTTCAGTAGTTAAAGTGTGAGGTCACAGTATATGTGCCTGAGAGGTGAAATTCGAGGCAAAGACAGCCACAGGTCACCTGTAAATGCCTTCACAGAAGACTTGGTCGCTGGTTTTAACTGCGTCTCATCTGCTTTTGTTGTTAACCCCTTCAGTCCAAACACATGACCAGCTGTTACTGGGGCTCCAGCAGCTCTGCAGCTGAGCGCCATGACCCCAGCCTGCCATACCTGGAGCAGTACCGCATCGACCCGGCCCAGTTCACCCAGCTCTTCGCTGCACTCGCCCCCTGGACCTGTGGAGGCCACACCCAGACACTGTCAGCCCGTCTCTTCAGACTCCTGGACCAGAACCAGGATGGTCTGGTCAACTTCAAAGAGTTCATCACTGGACTCAGTGAGTCCAGATCCAGCCAGACACACACACAGTAACACCAGTAGTAACACAGACAGTGGCACCAGTAACACGAACAGAAACACAAACACAGTGGCAGTAATCGATGAACAGACGATCACTGAAATGAACCACGCTTTCAATCGAGAGCTGGTTTTAGTGTCAGCACAGGATTGAGTTCATGATTGTGTATAAATGCTGTATGTGCAGACTTTTGAATTTTGATTCTTTATTAGTCAGTGTGTTGGTTTCACCTCAGCGTGTTTGTGCGTTGTGTGTCTGTAGGTGGGATGTATCATGGAGACATGACAGAGAAACTCAAAATGCTTTACAAGCTCCACCTCCCACCAGGTAACGTCCCCACAGCTCACCTGGAAACGTTCCTGTGTGCGCTGATCTAGTTGATGGTAGACTGCAGTCTTTCCCACACATACACTTTGCATGGGCAGACCGCCCAGTTTTTTTATTATAATTTTTTTTCTGTCCGAGAAAACTACGCTATCTGCGATCGATTAAAGCTACAATATGTATTAAGGTAGAGCTAGCATGAAAGTCCAAATCAGTCCACTCTGCTCCGCCCAGCTCTGCTCCTTGATCTTCTGTGCTCTACTACGACCTGCTACACTCTTCAGATACTTGTCTTTATGTGATTATAAGAAATGGAAATGCAAACGTTATTGATCAAACTGAAATAAGTGAAAATCTCTGGTTGGTCAGTCCTACTCAAAACGTTTAGAAGCTAATATATCTGCACTGCTGTTCAATGATTCTGGGTCACAGGAGGCTTCAACATCACCTCTCCACATTAAGAGAGCAGATTTCTACAACAACAGTATCTGAAAAAGTTACGTACTGTAGCTTTAAACAGAGCAGTTTCCCCTCGCTCTAGATTTTCTTTTTTACCATTTAAAATGGGTAAAACCTTATTTCATCATAAATCTGCATGCAGTGGTTCAATTCCCAAGTCATTATTTTCAGTGAATGAAATACACCTTGTGTTCACTTATGTGCTCACATACCGATCTCTGGGCTCCAAGTAACTGGCTGCAGACTAGAAGGTCGTTTATTACCTCAGCCCAACATCGAGCTCAACTCAAAGGGTCACCCATTTATGATAGATAATAGAATTTGTCTGGTTTCGACCGTCACCATTCCCATTCATCCTGAAGTCAGACCTCTGTCACTATATTGTGTTTTTACATTTTATCTCCATCACTTATATACTTGCCATTCATCCAGTTTGTTATTAAAGTAGTTTAGTAATGTAGCCATGTCGTTGTAGATTAATTAATAAAATGGATAAAACCCAAGGTCATGTTATCAATTCTCTTGAGAGAGTAGTGGTCAGTGTTCTAGAGAATTCATTCCCTCACTGATTCAGAGATTATTTTTTTAAACTGGTTTATTAAAATAATGTGTTAATTAAGTGTAAGTATTCCACTCCAAAGTTTGGTACTTCAATTGATATTTATTGGTAATTAATCACTCATAATGATTACATTCAATTGTGGTTAGTTCGCCGTATAAAAGAACTTGGTGTCCCCTTTTTGAGGTAAGAATATGAAATTCATATTTAAGAATGATAAAGTCATTTCTAGGAGAATATTGACTGTAAATTTTTTAAAAATGTGTGCAGCAACGTCCACCAACCAGAGACCAGAGGTAGTAGTGTCTACAGGTACAAAAACCCACCAATTCACTATCTCAATAAATTAGAATACCTCATAAGACCTATAAAAAAAAACATTTTTAGTGAATTGCTGGCCTTCTGGAAAGTATGTTCATTTACTGTATATGTACTCAATACTTGGTAGGGGCTCCTTTTGTTTTAATTACTGCCTCAATTCAGCGTGGCATGGAGGTGATCAGTCTGTGGCACTGCTGAGGTGGTATGGAAGCCCAGGTTTCTTTGACAGTGGCCTTCAGCTCATCTGCATTATTTTG